AGACAAATAAATGTTTAAGTTAACCCAAATTTTATTAACCGGTTCTGACCTCTGCTACCAACACGAAATCACACTGACCCCAAAAATCCGATTGGCGTATCGACTGGAACAAAAACTCCCAGCACATAGGCAAGCGCCTCACTTGTTTTATCAAATTAATTAATTGGGTTCAATTAACCACCCTTGCAATCACTTATTCGGTAGGCCTGGTTTATAGCAGCATGAGTAAATTTTGTAATTTAGCGCATTATTGCCAAGATAATGCTGGGTTGCATTGGTGTCACGTGATAGCATCCGTTAAAGGAAATCGACTTCGGCTAAAAACCGAAATTACAATCGACTTAAGCCGAACTAGCCAAGCCGAACTTTTAGGGTCGACCTGAACCACTAATTCGGAGTCCTATATCTTTTTAACTTATTAAAACCCAAATTCAGATTAAAATTCCCTACGTATTAATATTAGAAAAAAAATGATCCACAATAATCGGATACGTATAAGTTACAAAAATGTAAATTTACTATATATCATCAATTTAATGATATAACAGTTAATAATATTTTACTTGAATACAAGTATTAATTCAATGGAGAAGTCTCTCTCTTTAACCAACGCATTCCTAAACTGTCTGGAGTCATTAAAGGTTCTAATTTTTGTAAACATTCAGCATTAAAATCATTGAGCCATTTGTGCTCAATTGGACTCAAGAGAGATACATCCACGAGACTTGTTTGAATAGGAACATATGTTATATGTTCGAATCCAAGGTAGCCTCGTTCACCAAAATTATTTGGTGTCTCAACCTCACGGACAAGTAAGACTGTCTCAATACGAATACCAAATTTATCATCTTCATAATAACCTGGTTCGTTAGTGACTGTCATGCCTGCTTGAAGTGTTACATCATTGAACGCAATCCGGGTACCTATACCATGAGGACCTAGACGAATATGTATAAATTGTGAATATCATTTCGATTAAAACTCGTATCATGAAATGTAATTAAGGCTTACCCTCGTGAACATTCAAAAAGCATCCCACACCATGACCTGTTCCGTGGCGAAAATCTAATCCATCTCTCCATAAAGCAGTTCTGGCAAGTACATCTAGCACATATCCTGTAGTAGACGAATTTTTCAAAACAAAGAAAATTCGGTAATAAGTATTATTATAAATTTTCAATATAATAAAACTTAAGAGATTACCAGTAGTTCCTTTAGGAAAGATAGCTCTATCGATAGCGATGTGTCCTTGAAGAACACGAGTAAAAGCACGCTTTTCTTGTTCAGTTGGGTTCCGCAAATGAATGGTACGTGTCACATCAGTGGTTCCATCTCTGGTAATCAAGAAATAATATAAATAGATATACAAGAATTAATTTAAAAGAAATTAATGACTTACTTATATTGACCACCAGAATCGCATAAATATAAAAGATTCGGATCAATAATGGCACAAGTCTCTGGTTCTGGTCTGTAATGTATAACAGCAGCATTAGGTCCTGATGCGGAAATGGTATCGAAGGAAAGACCCATAAAATCAGACTGTTCTCTAAAATAAAGTTCACAATATCTTAATTCAGTAAACTTTTTAATATTAGCGAACGAACCACGAAATTAGAACGAGTGTATACGATCTGAATTCTTGTAATTTAGTAGATCCATCAATTTCATTTATAGTTTTTCCTTTCGCTATTTCATCTTCCAGCCATGCAAAATAATTGATCTAATATATAGAAATAAATAAAAGGTTTGAAAACCATTAGTTACGCATACATAATTTGAAAGTCATAAGTACGCATATACATATATGCATATAAACTGTAAATACATACTAATGCACAAGCATCCCTTAAATGGCATTGTCTCATGCCTTCCAATTCGGTTTCATTTTTGATTGCCTTGGCATCAGTGACCGGTGAACGAGCTTCTTCAATATTGTCCTAATTAAAATTTTGATTAAAATAATTATAAAAAGGTAGCTTAAAAATGTTTCAAGAGAATACATACTTCACCAGCTGCTCTAGCTATAGCCCAGCTTGATCGAGTGCTTATAAGGAGTTTCTTAATATTGAAATTGACAATTAGAAAAAACTGAAAGTGGCTGGAAACGACATTGTAAAGAAGTCGAATAGAACTGAAACCTGGTTATCATTTTTCAACTTGACAGAATGTTTCTGCAAATCTTCGAATATTGCATCGTAAGGTCGGTATTTAATATCAGGCCCCAGATGATTTTTGACTTCCTTGTTTAATTTACGATCGTCAATATAAAGAATAGCTTCATCCTTGGTAATAAGTGAATATGAAAAGAAAACAGGGTTGTATTCAACTTCGGAGCCACGAAGGTTAAAGAGCCCTATACATATTAAGGAATGTTATGTGAGTAGGTTGACTTAATAAAAATATAATAAAAAATTAAATTTACTGACATGCAATTTCGTCAAGACCCGAGACAACAAAACCGTAATAATTTTCCTTAGTGAATTCTCCACGAAGACTTGCAATTTTATCAGCGTGAGAACGCCCTAGTTATATGTAATCAAGTTATTAAATTGAAATATCAATCATAACACATACAAATGATTACCAGAATAGCGTTCTTCTAAAATTATAACCTCATTTGTTGGACGGGGAGGTCTTTCACTTCCCCACACCAAATCAACTAGATTCTGACTGATAGGTATCAAACAAGAGCCAACTTTTTCCAGAGATTCGGATAATGTTCTAGCATCAGCTTTAAAAAACATGAATATATATTATAAAGACTGTGTAATGCTATCATGTTATTATTAAAGAGTTAGATGAATAAAATAAAGCTTACGAGCGGTAATTAATGTGGGATCAATTCCTATTTTTGAACCTTTTTGGAGATTCTATAAACACAAATAATATATGCGTACAATGAATTTTTTATTCCTAATTTGATAAAGACAAATTATAAACAAAATGAGAATATTCACTTGCACCAAATATTCTTGCCAGGTGGGAACATCTGGCAAACCTTGTTTCATCAATGACCAATTACTATCCAACTGTTTACTCGCTTGAAGAAAATATCTACCATCCGTGAAAAGTGCAGCAGCATCATTAGATACTACGGCCAATCCTAAAAGAAAATATTATATATTACAGCCTCATTCGATGAATTTTAAATTATATGTCAATATACGCGTTGTAAGCGCGAATTACCCGCAGAACCCGTGAAGCCAGAAATGAAAGGCCTTCGAGCGTCACAAGCTGCAACATATTCACTCTAGAATTTGGTAAATTTAATAATGAAATGAATTAAATGCGCAGGCAGGATATTGAACACTTTAGAACCTGCATAAAAAATAAATCAATGAATGGAGTGTTTTATGTAAAGAAGTATATTTTGTACCTGGTGGGAGTCTTCTGAAGGAATTATGCTAAAAAGTTGTAATGCTGAGATAAGTTTAAACAGCTATTTTTTGCTAAATATAGGAAGAAATACATACTAAGCTGTTATGTCATAATTGCTGAATAAATCACGTAATTTATTCAGACGTTTGGTTGTGTCAATGACAGTGGAGTGAGTTGTATCCGACATAAACCTTTTGTTTTTATTACGTGGTGAACAAAAAAAACGAAAAAACCGTGGATATCCTAATAGACATTTTCTGATCGCACCTTGAGTCATTATAATGAGTCAAAATGAAAAACACGATCGATGTTACACGGATCAACTTTAAAATAAAGACACAGAAAATCTACAGTTTCATTAACAAACTTTAACAGTTTAAATAATGTCATTGAAACCTAACGAAGTTAACTTGGGGGTTGGTATGATTTAATATTCTATAACGACTTGAGAACACTTAGTACTTTCAATTTACGACAATAGGGCGGTTACCGTCAGAATTTTAATAAAATGATAAGCCAAATTTAAGAATTAAGGATCGTGAAAGAAAATTATCACATATATCTCTATGCACCATTTTGATCGTTTTTTAGACGACCACTATGGCCGTTGAGTTTCAGGGTGGTGTGGTCATTGGAGCGGATAGTCGTACCACCATGGGTTCTTACATCTCCAACCGTGTTACTGACAAGTTAACTCCAGTTCATGACAAAATATATTGTTGTCGGTCTGGAAGCGCAGCAGATACCCAATTTATCGCTGATCTCGTCCGTTATTACTTACAGATGTATGCGTAAGTATTACATATATATATGAAATATGAAAAGAGCGCAATAAATATTAAAAATCTAATTTATTTGAATTAGAGTTCAACATAACGAACCTCCATCAGTACAAACTGCAGCCGCCTTATTCCAAGAGTTGTGTTACCAGAATAAGGATTATCTACTAGCTGGAATTATTGTTGCGGGATGGGATAAACACAATGGTGGTACTATATATAGTATTCCGATAGGTGGTTCATTGCATAAGCAGCCATTCACTATTGGAGGTACGCGTAATACTTTGCTTTATTTTAGTTTCCTATGAATTTCATTTTCATTAATCATGATGTTTTTATGAATATAATTCTAGGCAGTGGATCATCGTTCATTTATGGTTATTGTGATGCTAACTTTAAGAAGAATATGTCACAAAATGAAGCTGTAGAATTTGTGAAAAATGGTTAGTTTGTTATAGGGAATATTAATGTACAAAATCAATTAGTTCCTTAAGGCGAGACCAGTTGGTCAATAATGGTCACATTATTGCAAAGGACAATTGATTATGGCCATTAACATATTTAGTTGTAACTTTTCTAAATAATAACAATAAAATAATTTTACCTATGTCCAGCTGTTACCTTGGCCATGTCACGAGATGGTTCATCAGGTGGATGCGTTAGAATTGCTATTATCACAGAGGATGGTATAGAACGACTTTTCTTCCCCGGAAATGACTTACCAGGTCAGTTTAAAAATTGAGCTCTCATGTTGATTTATTCGTATTATTTTTGATAATTAAAAATAACAATTATGTATATTTATTTCAATTTGCATGTCTAGTGTTTTTTGAAGGAAATTAAAATAAAAGATGATGTATTCTAATAAAATATTTTATAGATGTTATCAAGCACATAGTGTAACAATGTATCAAATTTCCTTACTGTCTCAATATAATTTCCGACAAGTTAATATTTTTGCTTAACTTTTTAATTCGACAATATAATAAGTTGTGAAGTTGCCAATTATCATTTAAATTTTAGAATGCAAGTCTGATGAGATAAATATTGGGGATTGAACTGCCTAAAATTTTTCTTAATCGTTTAACCGTTTAATTTGGCCGGCATTAAAATAATTCCGGCCTCATGACCAACATAATTCTGCCCGGAACTATGGAGCAATTTTTAAACGGTTAAACGGTTTCAATTCCGACCCGGAATTTTTGATTCTATTAAATAAAAAAGTTCAGGAGGCTTAGTAACACAGATCTTTGCGTACCCGATACATGTATCACAAAGATGTGAAAATGAATTTTTTATCTATAAAAATTTTATGGTTCAAATAACATCTATACATCTTTAAAAATGGTATTTCCAATTTTTATGAGAACCTTTAGATTTACTCAAAAAGCTCAACATGAATTTCGAGCCTTATATGTACGTAATGCAACAACAGTTAGTTCAGTTACTAATAAGTTGTCAAAATTTGCAGGTATTTGGTTCTAGTTCAGTTTAGCTGCTTTGTTATTCCTTAAAGTTTATTTAAATTATAATTATTAAACGTATTATTTAATGATTTGATATTATACTAATATTAAAGAATATAGAAAACCGATTATTTACAATGCCCTCGTGATTAAAGAATTGGCGAAAGAGGTATACATTAAAGAAGGTCTTCGTCCACCAACCATATCAGAAATCTCGCAAGCTTTTTCGAATTTACAATCTATCCGACTAAGAGATTTCATGGAAATAGGGCTTAGAGATGCGGCTAGAATTGCTATACGATCAGTGGAAGTTTTTGGATTCTTTGCACTTGGCGAAATTATTGGAAGGAGAAGTCTGATTGGATATAAATACTGAATAAATTACAAAGAGACCTCTCCAAGAGAATTTACATCATCCGTGCATTTATGGAGGGGAAACATTTAGAGAGGTCTCTCCGTAAAGAAATTGTAAAGACAAACAGAGGTGATAACTATTAGAGTCTTATAGAGTTAAATAATTTTTAAGTATATCAGTTTTATTAACATTTAATGGACGTTTATACTTTTTACGAAATTTTAGTTTCTTTTTTTTAAAAAAATTTTGGATTTAGGGCGTTCTCAAGCCTCAACCTCGATGTGATTAGCCCATGATCGTAATCGAGCACAACTATAATTATATGAATCGAATAAGCAAATTAAGAAGTAATGTGATTAGCTAATAAACGTGACGATGCTCATTTACTATGGTCAATCAAAATAAGAATTATAATTGATATTTAATTAATACTCAATTGATACTTAATTGGTACTTGAGAGATCCATTAATATTTTATCAAATGCCGTTATTACTACGTTTAATTCGTTATGAGGTTACTTGTGCGATCTTCAATTAATGTAAATTTTGCCAAGTCAGGGATAAAAAAAAAGATGGTCCGCCGTAAAATGTTTATAAATTGAGATGTTCAACTTACGTATTAATTTTTACTAGTAAAAAATATATTAATTACGTAATAAACTTTATTAAACTACGATGTTTATGAATATTTTCCACTAAGTAAAATTTATTCTCCGACCTATTGATTAAGACGTTTGAGAACGTCCTCAGGTAATTGAATAATTACAGGTGCTTAGAATCACTTTTCAGGAAGTTTATGCAAAACTGATTTGAACGAACGATAAAAGTTCTGAAATCAAGAACATATCATTCTTTATATCTTAAATTGTAAGCAAAGTAAATAAAAAAATTATCGAAAATTTTAATTAGTATATACAACTGCTGAATTGCACTGGTGATACTAAAAGAAATAAATCAAGTCAGGGATTCGGATAAAGAGATTTCGGAGAAATAAATCAAATTAGAAATTCGGATAAAGATGTCGGAGAATATATGACAAAGTCAGCCTCACAATCCTCACAATATTCATAGCATTGACACTTGCCATGAAAAAATTAATTTTTATTACAACATATGAATTCAGCCGTTGAATTCAACAATAATGAACCCAATTTATCTATACTAGAAGATAGATTCCGATGTTCTTTCGTAGAGCTCCGAACCGGATGCAAAATCGTCACACCCGTATAACCTGAACCGGTTGAAAACGGTTTGAATAATCGTGATGGCGACCCTATATATAGTTTTTCTCATGCCACCGAATAATGATTGTAGGGGCAATTTTTCGAACTCATTTAATTGATTGATGGCGTAGCTACAATTGATCAATTAATTGCAATTTTATTGTGATTATATTACATATATATTCGTCGTTTAAGATTATTAATTGCAGTAAATACATGTGATTTGGGTTATTTCGCTGTTTTATGCTATCTACGATCATGCAATTCATACACCGCAATCACATAACTACATAACCCGAATCTGAACCCGAACCCCAACGCTACGAATTACCGGACTATCGAACGTGTCGAACCATACAGTATATTACATATTAGTAAAGCAAAGAAAATGATAATGAAGGCTTATACAAAGGAAAATTTTTAGCAAAATTTTCGCAATAGATAGTTGTATGGTAGCCTCCGAAGGTTTGACTTTTTTTTTTAAATCCAGATTAACGGGATTGAACATTTAGATAAATTAGTAAGAAAAAAAAGTGTTTATTTTCACAATACAATAATAATGTGTTAAATTTTGTTTCTGTGTAACAGTAATATATTTTTATTCAACCATTTTGACCCGAGTTGTAAATTTTTGACCGATTCAACTGTTTTGAGACGGGTGACCCGGTTTACTATTATCCGGTTCTAAACTCTATTCTTTCGAAAGCAGACAATAGGTGTTTAATTTGAGATAGAATTTTGAGGAATGTTTAAAGATACCAAAAGGAATAATGAATTACAAACCAATTCTCGTCGTGTTGCTAATTCTTTACTCTGTACGAGTCTTCGATTAAACAGTAAACCTACCTCTATAAAACCGAAGACTATTAATAATAAATGAAAATAATCGTTTTACATTTTTATTTAACATGTGTGTGAATCTTTTAAACACGTAAAGTAAAGGCCTACCTGTGATACCAACTAACGTGAGAACCGTAGTTTTGTGAGCGAGATTTGCTGCTCTAGCTCTTAAGGGTAACATTCTTGAAAGAAAAAAAATTGATCTTGAAACTTGATTGGGGAAATGTCTAAAGTGAAGTGTTACAATATGGTTTAATATGATTGGCTGATTTTTGCAGATCATCTCATCTCATTAAAATAATTTGGTAGAGCGGTCACGGGTCCATCAAAATTGGCATTCTCATGTGATTATTATTTCTGAGCACAAGGTTTTTTCCGCCACGTGATTTTTTGCCAATTAGATCGAAGGATCAGGTGTAACGTAAAATCAATTAAGCGAAAGATTTTAAAGTAATAAGCATCATCTTTAGAGTTAAAAAGACGTGATTTTCACGTTACACCTGCTCCTTCAATCTAATTGGCTATGCTCACGTGGCGACACATCTCGTGGGTGAGCTACGAAGACCAAAATATTTAAAGTCGGTCAATTAGCTCATGCCACATATATCGATATTTTTGACTCTATTTTGTAGAGGAATCAACTCCGGACCGAAACCTTATCTGGCCTAAATGTGCACATGTATGCTTGTGTGAAATAAAGTCTTATTTTTGAAATTTTATCCACTTAGGTAGTGAAGGAGCCTTGCCTCCGTAGTGGTGATGTAGGCGGTAATTACTTATGTACATAAAAATATTTCGTATAGATTCTGCTAAGATCATATATCTTGAAATTATATGAAAAAAGAAAACCAATCTGATCGCGCGTATGGCAGTTTGGAATATCATAATTTGCACAATATTTATATGATATAGAAACGAATGCAAACATTATGCCCTTAAAATTAGCAACAGTCAGTTATTAACCACCAGTCGGTTAGTTTATAAGCAATACCAAAACATTTTTGTCCTTCATCACATGCACATTAACCCATTGTGGTATTTTTTTAATAAATTTTATAAAACATAGAGTGTATTTCTTTTGTGCTTCATTGAACTGTGTTGTGGTTGGCATTCTTCTAATAAATTTCAACTTTTCGGTCTGTTCAAATGGTGGTCGATTTTCTCGATCTTCATAGTCGCTTACAATTTTATTAACATATTGCTATAAATATTAAGTATGATAGAATTTATAAGTAAAACTTTATCGTAAAATTCAATAAAACAAAGCTGTTTACCTCCATTATTATAAAATGGGAAAATACCAATACAATCAACGGAAACGACTCTTTATCAATTGGTAATTTGTTTTTAAGACACGGCCATGATCTATAAACACCATCATATGCTAAATCGATGACAAATGACTCTATATTATCCCCTGTATAAATGAATTTTGTGATTAAAAAATATTGAAAAATACTAGACAGCAGAATCAATCGTCTAGAAATTATCGTAAGAGTCGATGATTTTCGCTATTTAAAAATAAAAATAATATCACTGCAGAAGAATCATCAGTCCTGATTATTGCATTAGTGGAAATACCGCTGATATGTCATGTAATTGATGATGAATTCAACCAATAACATCACGAAAGTAAACAAACTTTTCAAGTGATATTATTGACCATAAAGTTCCTCCAAACAATAATTATGACATACCCATATTTAAAAAAGCCACTGATTTGTTAGATCCTCCTTTTCTAATAATTTGTTAATTGATGTTTTTCCTTTAATATGTACTTTACAAAGTCTTGGTTTTTCCTCAATTGAGTGAATCCCAAAGGTTTGATCTCGGAATTTAATATTGCAATGTCATCAACAATACATCTAAAATCCAGTCTTTGTTTTCCACTCACAGTGTTGGCAACAATAGACAAATAGAACAATAGAGAGCAATAGAATTTAGAATAAAATGTAATTTTTATCAACAGAACAAAAAATTGACAACACTGATCACAATGTATATAATGTCAGTCATATATATATAGCAACAGCAGACTTGCCTTTTTTTGTGTTAGTCTCTTCGCAATTTGCATCTTGACAACGTTTTTCCTGAAGCTATGCGATTGTCATCGTACGTCGAGCCACTCCCAGTTGCAATTAAATTTATCTGCTTTACTTGCAGATACCCGATTTTGGCACGTTCACAATCTTGATTTGAATTCTTTACCGGTTCGGTCCATTTCTTGGCCAAAGTATTGTATTGTAATCAAAAAAAATTCGATCCGTTACCCAGTAACAAAACAATCATATAGAACAAAAGAAACGCAGGATTGAAAGATCGTCCTTGTAAGACGAGTAGTCCCAGCTTGCACTAAGCGTCGAACGAGTAGTTCGTCACCGGAGACGAGTAGTCAGTCCCAGCTTGCACTTAGCGCCGTTACCCAGTAACAAACCAATAATATAGAACAAAATAAACGCAGGATCAAAAGATCGTCCTTGTAAGACGAGTAGTCCCAGCTTGCACTAAGCGTCGAACGAGTAGTTCGTCACTGGAGACGAGTAGTCCCAGCTTGCACTTAGCGTCGAACGAGTAGTTCATAACTGTTCAGATCAATCAGTTAATCCGTTAAAATTGATCCGTTACCCAGTAACAAAACAACAATATAGAACAAAAGAAACGCAGGATTAAAAGATCGTCTTTGTAAGACGAGTAGTCCCAGCTTGCACTAAGTGTCGAACTAGTTCGTCACTGGAGACGAGTAGTCCCAGCTTGCACTTAGCGTCGAACGAGTAGTTCATAACTGTTCAGATCAATC